TCACGAGTCCTTTTTCAGGTACAATTACTGATCCAGAGTCCCCTAGCCGACCAACCATGCATGCAGCTTTAGGCAGCTTTCCTTCGACTTCACGCTGTCTGATCGCCAGCGGTATCATCAGTAAATTCGAAAGGAGTGTTTGGGTGACCGGAAGCCCACCGAACTTCTTAGAAGGATGCAAGGACTTCGTGGTGAGCTTCATATCGACGATAAGACTTTTAAGGATATGTTCCTGGAGCGTCTGCCAGCTGATGTTCAAACCATTCTAGCATTGGGCCCAGAAGATCTCTCGATTTCACTGCTAGCCGAGATGGTCGACACGATGCTGGAGGGGCAGCGGTGCCACCCGCCCTCGTTCTCCATTTTCTCGTGATCAACGCCAAGTAAGCAGATTGCGACGCAGATGGCGGCCATGGCAGAAGAAACGGCGTCCCCAAAACTCCTGCTTGCAGGCCTTACCTTTATTCACTAATCTTGCTATCGTCGTTCCCCTTCGCGGCCTCTAACAGCAGATATTTGTTAGTATCATACCAATTTCGGTGCAAAGGAATGTCGATGTTCCTCTCCCACTTGTTTGTCGTAGGAGGAAAACCAGTCAGTCAGAGAATAAACGCGACCGTTTTTGATGGCTCTTCCAACTCTGGTAGCACCTCCTATGTCCGCAGCATTGTGGCTTGCAGACGTTTCCTTATGAAAACCGGAGCCCAAATCATCGTGGTCTCCCCAACTCCAGCCGACCGTCGTTTCCGTAGTCCTGGTCTTCACATCCAAGCTGTCAAATGTTCCCAAATTTCCACTTTTGGCAGTCTGTCCTTCACCCTAACCATTGCCCTTCGTCAGTATTTTCCCTGGGTCTCTGTGATTGCCGATGTTCCTCATGAAATCCTTGGCACGGACTGTCTATCCAAGTTCGAGCTCCTTGTTGGCTGCCGACGATCCCGACTCCCCGATCGTACAACTGATCTCTCTGTGCATGGTTTAACTTCCTTCACTATCTCCTGCAATTTATCTGTCTTGGATACAGCCATTGCCAGCCCCTTTCGGGAACTGATCCTTAAACATTCCTACATAATCAACTCCCAGTTTCGCAGTGGTGAGGCTCAGCATGATGTTGTGCACCATATGCGTACCTCAGGTCCTCCTGTGTTCGCTTGGCCTAAACGACAACACCGGCCAGTTTTCAGGCCGCGAGGGCGGAGTTTGAACACGTGTTGCAACTGGGAATCATTCCACAGTCAGAGAGCTGTTGTAAATTGTAATGTTCTCACGAACTAACGAGTTATATCTCACGAGCCCCTAGCCTTAAATGCAGCAAGTAAATCGGAGCAGTGAATAATATAGAGATTTTTGAACGTTAAGAGAACTGACAACAGAATACCACAGCAGAGCACGCTAGCAAAGCGGGTTGTGTAGGTGTGTCGTTTTTCGTCACATTCAAACAAGCAATGCGGTCAAAGAAAATGGGACTAAATTGTCAAAGGTAAATTAGTCAGGCACCTCACCACAGAGCCCCTGGGCGTCCCCCTGCACATGGTGCCCAAGGCAACATCAGGCGACTGGAGACCCTATCGAATATCATGCCCTCAGCAATGCCATAATTTCCGATCGTTCCCCGTGCCATATCTTCAGGATTTCTCCGGAGTCCTTTTTGGCAAAACGGTTTTCTCGAATATTGACTTGGTGCGTGCCTTTTATCAGATTCCGGTCGTCCCTGAGTATGACCCCAAAACTGCTGTCACTACAGTTTTGGCCCCTTCGAATTCATCCGAATTCCTTTCGGTCTTCGTAATACTGCCCACTGGTTCCAGGGGTTCATTCACCACGACTTGCGTGGCCTACCGTTTGTGTACGCCCACATGTATGACCTCTTGGTGACCGCACGGAATGCGAAAGAACACGAAGAGCACTTTGCCTTGGCGTTTGACCGCCTTGACAAGTTTGACGTTATCATCAACCCCTCCGAGTACGCTTTCGAATGTCTCCGCCATCCTGTCGACTCTGAAAGTTTGCGTCCACTGTACTCCAGAGTTGAAGCAATTCGTGATTTCCATCCACCAACCTCGAAGCGTCAGTTGCAACGATTCATCGGCATGGTCAGTTTTATATCGCCGATTCCTCTTGATCTGTGCTGGCCTCATGCTGCTGCTCACCAACATGCTTTCCGGTCCCAAAGGCCCCTTTAAGCTTACTGGTGAAGCACTGACTGCTTTTGAGAGAATCAAGAATTCCCTTGCCGACACCACCTTGCTCGCGCATCCCGCTCCCGGAGCTCAACTGCCCCTGATGGTAGATGCTACGACCGTAGCCGTGGGTGCAGTCCTCCAACAATCCCGTGCTGGCCCGAATTGACCACTGGCCTCTTTCTCCAAAAGGCTCTTGCTGGCAGAGTCCCACTACAGTACCTTTGGCCGTGAACTAATTGCTATTTACGTGACTATGATGCATTTCCTTGAAGGTCGTGACTTCGCTATTTTTACGGACCACAAGCCGCTGATTTTTGTTCTTGGTTCCCACTTCGACAAGTAGAGTCCGAAAGAGATCGTCCGCCTGGACTACATCTCCAAGTTCACCACCGACATCCGTCAAATCGATGGCACGAAGAATGAGATGGCTGACATGCTGTCCAGGCCCTCACTATCTCCCTTCCACCTTTAAAACGGGATCGACCTTGGCGCCCTGATGGCTGAGCAACAACGCGTCCGTTGTCCTGACTACTAGTCCGTTAGGAGTCTCCGACTCAAAAACGTTGCTCTGATCACCGGTACTGGTACCATATTTTAAAACGACTCGACTCCTTTTCATCGTCTTTTTGTGCCCACCTCGATGCGTCGAGCTGCTTTCCAAACTCTCCATGGAATCTCCCATCCTGGGATTCCAGCCTCACAAAGCTCCTCGCGGAAAGGTTCATCTTGCCGGGTATGAACAAGGACGTCAAAACGTGACGCTTCCGTATCTGAATTGCCAGCGCAACAAGGTGCGACGCCACAACAAGTCCTCACCTGGCTCCTTCCTCGGCTCCAACGCACGGTTCAGCCATTTGCACCTTGATACCTTGGCCACCCGCTGGGCTGAAGCCATTCCTCTGCCGAGTGTGCGGGCTGAAACCATCGTGACGAATTTCATCAGTAGCTGGGTCACCATGTGCGGCGCCCATCCATGGTCAAGACTGATTGTGGCGCTCAGTTAGAGTCTGCACTCTTCCAAGCGCTTCTAAATTTTTTTTGGCTGCACACGCATTCCAACGACAGCCTGCCATCCGGCTGTCAACGGTATGGTTGAGAGTTTCCATCGCCAGCTAAAGACCGCCCTGTGTGCCGCAGAAGACCCAGGAAACTAGTCAGACAACCTTCCTTTTGCAATCCTCGGCATTCGCGCGGCTGTGAAATCAGATTTGGACTGTAGCGCAGCAGAATCGATTTTTGGTACTACCCACCAACTGCCAGGAGAGATGGTCACCCCAATCTCTCATGATGCCGACGAGGCCCCTAACAATTTTGAGCACTCTCTGCGGCAAATTATACATTCGCTTTCCTCGGTTTCACCTCGTACTCCAGCGGTCTAGTCTCTTGTCGAAAAAGGCCTTGATAACTTCAGTGTTTGTCCGGTGCTACCAGGTGGACCAGCCGCTGAATCACAATACGAAGAACCGTTCCGCGTGCTTGCACACAATACCAAGACCTGCCGGGTCTTTCAGGGTAACAAGGAGAATGTGGTCAGTGTTGATAGGGTCAAGGCTGCTTTCGCAAAGGAGCTGCCGGACGTACCTCAAGGACAATATTGTGCTGACCCCTTACCCCGTGATCCTCTACCCTCCCTACCCCATGCTCCCCCGCCTTCCCAGCCCACTCCCTCTTCACTTTCTCCCACCGTCTCCGACGCAAACTCTTTCATCGCCACTGACATTCGCACCACTCGTAGCGGCCGTCGTTTCCACTTCCTCGACCGCCTTATCACGCAAGTGTATTCAAACTGCATTAACCTTAGGCTTCGTTTTTACGTCGGCGGGATAGTTGTGGTAGCCCTTTGGCAACTTTTTGTTCACACACTTGTTTTTATAGTTGTTCCATTTGTTAAACATTTCCTAAACTTGCATTTATTCACTTTTATTGAAGTTGGTTTTTTATGTAACGGTTACGCGGAGACTCCAACTGGTGTGGGTCGGTTTCACTAACTTTTTCACCCGATGACTTTGTTCTACATTGGATGACATTGACAGTTAAGTCCGTTTCGGCATGGTCGTTTCGCCTGGCTTTCCTCGGTCTGGTCTTAGCGTGGGTTCGCGTTATCGAGTGGCTAGGCCCACAAAACGCTGGCATCTGTTCCATAACAAACAAGAATTTCCAGATGTACCAGCCAAGTGCAGATTTTGAGGAAGCCCAAAAAGTGAATTTATTTACAAAGACACTAAAAGCTGTTTCGACTTTAACGTGGACGTAGCCGCAAATGTACATTGCTCTCCATTCAACAATTAACCTCCAATTTTCACTAAAATTAAAATGTTTGTCCACAAGATAAATGCGTCTTGACAAAAGTACCACCGGCAGGTGAAAAACTGAAATCGATTCAGGCGCAAGGCGTTTAGTAACAGAACCGACAATGCAAATTCACGGAGACGAACAGCGAACGAACACAAACTTGTCTCTTCCACATACGTAGGATGACAAACGACTATTTAACACTCTTACCTAACTGCAAGGGCACCAACACAGCGGAAGACAATATGCTTGTCAACCTGTTTGCCACAGCCTTCCATGTGATTCATCAATCACGCAAACCTTTTCATTATTACGCAAATATTGGCCGCTTACATTAGGTAGGGACCACAGTAATGGTGATAATGCACAAGATCTTTTGCCCTGACCAAAATGCTGATCAGATATCAGCTCCCCTTTCCTGGATCATTTAAAACTTTCATCACCACCGATATCCACATATCCATGTATGTAGCTGTTCAATACCAAACTTCAAGGGATTAGCATAAAGCTCCCTTTTCTCGCTTGTTTTAGAGTGGTTGCAAATGAATTATCATCAGTTATGAGTCGAACGTTCTTACAATTTTGCAATGCAGTATTAAGAATAGGATCCTAAAATTGCCTACATTTAAACACCATGCAATCGTTAAGGTCGGAACGTTTGCATCAACTGCCTGATGAGAGCAGAATTCTAGTGCAAGGGTACGTCTCGTATTGACGCTGGAAAAAACCTTCTTCTTCAATGCTGGTATATATTCAGACTTAGTGATCAACAGAATACTTGGAGTTAATCCCATCGCATATGCTGTACTCAAATGCTTCACCAAATAAAATAAATCTTTCCTAAAGTTCTGCCTTTAGAAATACACGTTCAAAATTACCCCTTCAAAGTAGCCTTCTGTAAGGCCCTGTAAAAGAAAAATGACAATTTTGGACTTGCACAAACCACTACTTTTCAAAAGGCAATAATAATGTTATCAACCGACAGTATAAAAAAGAAGAAATTTTCTCTCATTTCCACGTTGATATTTCTTATCTAACGTTTCGTTTCACATGCGTCTTTTCCGTCATGCCATATTCATTGTAATGTCGCTGTTTCTTTATAGATGGCTGGCTTTTCTACCTTTGCTTTCGATAAATTCCCTTCGACGTGTCCCTTATCAGCACTTTTAGTACGTGGTTCAGCATTTCAACCGAGCACATCACGAATCCTTTTAAATGAATTAAAAATCTTCTTATTTGATACGACGACCCAGTTTACTTCGTTTGAATGCTCTACCATCTTATTCAAAGATTTACAACTGTTAAAAATTCGGCTCCTCGAAGGGATACGAACCCACGAAAGTAAGGGGAAGACTATTTTACGGCGAACGCTCTAGCCAGCTGAGTTACGAGGTCCCACCGGAAGACGTGAGTTTAATCCCATTTGTGCGGGATGAGATGAACTTTTCGCTCATATTGCGACGTCAGCATGAAAACATGTTTCAGGATGACAATCCTTTAATTTCCACCGAAATCTCATCGGGTCCCTCACCGTGTAAGGAGAAAACTGAGCAATAGCCTCTTGACTGTCGCTTCTGTTAGGGGGAGTCGTACTAACCGGTGTGCTTGCACGCCGGCCAACCGATCCACCCACATGCAGTGCACGTGCTGATGTCGCGCCAGTTCCCGACGGAACTGGAGGTCTACCCAGCCAGACAGGTGGTGTAGCGACCGAGCGAGTAGCGGATGTCGGATCACGAGTAATGAAGGAAGGGGATGATGGTAACTTGAATTCAGATGGTCCAGTCGATTGGAAAATTCGGTCTAAAAGGCCTTGCACTTCAGAGTGGACGGGATCGGGATGGACAGGCGTACGGGACATAGTATAGGCTGCACAGGTGATAAAAAGATATAAGTTTATTGGAATAAACAAAAATGGAAAACTAATAAACGAGACTACGGAATAACGAAAAATACGATGGAACAACTTATCGGGAGGGGTTGACATTTGTACGTCGGCACGTGGCTTCGGAAGCGTAGACCCTGCAAGGTAAGCGGGAGTAGTGTGCCACTAGTGTCCAGTACATTAAAACACACAAGGTCGGGTCCCTAGTCAGATCTCCGACTGCTACAGTGGGTTAGAAGTCTAGCCGACATGCGAGCCACCCAAGGACACTATGCGACTGGTCCGATTTGAGTCCAACCTTGGACATTGTCCTATATTCCTTGTTCGCCTTAACTATGCCGACAAAATACGTCAATGCACATCCCTCCCGGCGTTGTTGCTGAGTTCTCACTTAGGCACTCGATCAAGGCGTTGTTACATGGGCGACCACCGGGGCTGGTTCCAAGTTCATAACACCTTTTTGTCCTCGTAGTCATATTACAAGGACAAAATACATCGTGA